AGCAAAGAGAGGGAAGCAGAAAAAATAGCACACATGAAATCTACATTCACACACATACCCAGAGGAAAAAATGTAGCACAAACAAGTACAAGAGAATGATTCACAGCTGAAGTTGAGAGAAAAACAAACAAGCAACACGATTTATTTTAGCAACATAGATTTGGTTTCCAGTTGCCCTGGGAACTAACACTGGCAAGTGGTCTACCAGTGAACAAAAAAAAAAACATTGCAAAGTAATTGCCATAAACTTCTGAAACATTACCTTCCAACCTCTTACTTTAGACATGGTAGTAACTAAGAAGTGTATATAAAAAAAAGCAGATGCATTATATATCATCTTTGAAGACAGAAAAAATTCAACAAAACAAATTGCATTTACATACATGTATAAATCCTTCTTTATATATATTAAAGTTATCAAAATTTGAAGGTGTAACTAGTGGCCTTGTCACGAAGCTTTCTTTAACTTAAAACCTGATTTACAGAAACTACCTTATACAATAATATGTAAAAGGTTACTAAGTGTGAGATGTCCTGAGTTCTCACTATTTTTTGTTAGAAAACTTTCATCTTAAGTTTCTAGATTACTGTCAGCTTTGCGAAGAGGTCCTTATCATGGAGTCTCATAGTTTTGCAGATCTCTTTTAGCACTATGATGTACAAAATAAAATTTATCAGTGTTCGGTAGTCTCTGAGCTGACTATTGGTCTACTCATTTATGGTGCACTGCAAGCCAGACTAGGAAAAAAAAGCATACTGAAGGATGACTGCTAAAACTATAAAAATATGACATAAAATTTGTACAGTGAACAGCAAACTCAACATGGAAAAGAAGCCAGCAAAGGAGAATGGGAAAAAAAGACTTCAGCAAACTCAACTAAGATATCCCCCACAGAGCACAATTAGATATTACTGTATAGTGCCATTGGACAGAATGTACATATTCAAATATCTAAACTGGCATATTAATCACTCTAGACAGGAGATTGTTTAATGAAACTTTCCAGGAGATTAATGAAATCAGTATTAAATGTCAAGTTTATACAAAGACTGAGAACTTTCTTGTGTCCTCATTTGTTTTCTGTGTTCTTGATTGTTAATTACAAATCATGCAGCAAAATCCTAGTTAGATTCAAATTAGTCTGAGAACTATAGACAACAGATGTAAGCGTGACACTTTCAGCATTCAGATGCTACTTGCTTCTATTCCATGTACGCATCAGGTTTTTCAGAGTTCATTTGGTCATCTTTGTGACTGAGCAATTCCGACATGCTCCAGAAGTCAAAGTCTTAAAATAATATTACTTAAGAGGATGGAGGAGGGCTGGGGGCTTATTTGCATGGCCCATACGTACTAAAGTAAATGTACTAGATATCCAATACATTAAAAGGTTTTCTTGGTAGGCTCATATAATTTTAATCCAATCTCCTTGAGAATATATAATAAATCTAATAAAAAAAAAAAACCAACCCACCCAAAAAAACCCAAAACCCCACACCACCAAAAAAAAAAAAAAACCCACCCAAAACCCCAAACCCATACTTCCTTGTAGAAAAGCGTGTGGATAGAAAATACAGTCTGAACGTTAATTCAGCAGCACAGCATATGAAGTCTATTTGCAAAGCTTAAAAAAATCCATTCATCCAAAGCAAACTGGAATCACTTGGCCTACTGCCACAAACTTCTGCAGAATGTAGGGTTTCATGTTCAATGTCTCTAGCCCTTAGGTCTGTAAAGTTTTCCTTATAAGCTCAAAAGGCATATAAACCCATGTTAATGCCACTTTGTCAAACATCTCTCCTGCTGCCACTGCTTTGAGCTTTTACAGTTGACAGAAAGATGAATGAATTTTCACTATTCCCATTTGGAAACAGCACTAAAATTACTCATTCCTTCAGTTCCATTATTACAGAGCACCTACCTGAACAACTGAACCAGAGACAGGCTATGTAACTAAGGCAAAGCGAGCAGTAAGAATGTCTTGTCATTCACAGAAAATAGAATGCCAAGACTTCTGTCCTTACAGATGTCTGGAAAAGATGAAAGGAACCTCTCTCTTTTAGCTAAGGTAGACAAGTCAGTCAGCCAGCCCATCTGTCTACCTGTCCATCCATCTGTACAAACCCGTCCAACATCCAAACCGACTCCTCCCACCCCCACCTCTCCATTTAAGCAGGATTACAGAGATTAAAAGTATATGTAAATCAAGTTCAGGTAAGCTCAACGCTTCGTAAAATTGACAAATTAGTCAAGTTAATTAGTAGTCTAATTGCAGAAGAAAGCTAATTAGTTTGTTAATTAGTAGTCTAGTTATAAAGCCAACAAAATGGGTATTTAGCAACTACACATACTTTAAATATTGTGCTTGCAGAGAAAGAAGCAAGAGACATGGGGTGAGGGGAGCAGAGAGAAAGAAGAGACTTACTCTGTCTGATTAACCTTTTGTCTGCTACCAGAACGTTTTCTGCATCTACAATGATAACTTTGCCATCTCTTGGTCCAACTGCAAAGTTGTCAAAGCTGACATCAAGGAGGTAGAGTGCAAATTCAAAGTCATTATTTGTCAGCTGCTCAGCTATTTCCATTAATTGCCAGGCCAGATCCACTCGCTTCTCCCATGGTGCATTAAAGTAACTCCACAGCTCTTCTCCAACGTAATTGACAGCCACCATTCTTCCGCATGCTCCTAAGTACTTTGCAAACGGCCAACCCTCATCAGATGGAAAACTCTGTATATAAAAAGATTTTTTAAAATTTTCATTAATACAAACCAGCTTAGATTTTAAAAGGTTGTTCAATAAAATTTAAGGGAGACACCTGTAAATACCCATCAACATGACATTCCCATATACTTCTAAGTTTTGAAGAGAAAGAAAAAACACCACAAAATATATTTATGTGAGCAAGAGGCCCTGCCGGACTACTAAGGGAAAGATATATATGTTCACATACACATGAACAATTCCACCGACCAGCTTTTTGTATTGGTGTTTTATACATGTCTGTTGTATTAACACAAGTGTACTTCCCACCGAGATAATTTTGCATCTGAAATTTTTAATTAAAACCAATTTTTTTAAAAAACTTAAAGGCAAAAGCTTTACGGTGACGCCTCCTTCTTCCCACCACCCCCCCTTCCCATTTTCCTCAGTTGATTGGATTCTTTTGAGGATCCTCTCACTTGAAGATCTCTTACCGAAAGGATTACAGAACAGATCAAGGTATAAGAGAAAGCTTAGGCTTTCTTATGCCTCTAGCACTCCTTAACAGTCTACCTCTTGATTAGTTACTACATACATACTCTGTGTATTTAGTACACACAACCACATAACACTTTTATCAAAAGTAAAATTTGTCTCCAATACTAGGTTTTGTGGAAGTTAACATGAGACTGAATAGTAATAACATACTACAAGCAATTAAAAAAAACCCGCCAAACCACACCAGCATATTTTTCCTACTTCAGTTGTGCTGAATGTGCCCTAAGACTTCAATATGAAAAGACAAGCATTTAAAATGTATCCTCCATACTATGCATCAGGAAGAAACCATAAAAGGGCCCAGCAGTCACCCACCTGTATATGTATCCCACTTAAAAAAAAAAATCAGAGAAGTTAAGAGGGCTTACATACCCAATCACCATAGCGTTAGAACCCATGCCTGCCCCACAACAATCTTTAGTTTTACCTGTGTCTGTGCTTCCTTTGATAACAAAGTTTTCACCATTTTATCTTAAGCATGAGGCATCAGCTGACGCTAAGCCAAGGTTAAAATACTGATGTTGGTCAGAAACACTGGAAGCTCTGTAATACGCAAGGAATTCCAAGCCACATCTACCCCCAAGAATTAATACTTATTCTTGAAATGCAAACAGCAAAGTTAAAGCTATACTCAATTCACACAATAAGACTTCAAATTTAGTACTAAAAAAGCCCTGAAAAAAACAAAATAGATTTGCTTAGATCACAATAGTCAATACAATAATATAAATCACCAATACACACTCCAATCTTTACTCACAACACTTGCTAGCATATTTCACTAGTCGTTTTCTGCGTACGCATGCTTCCATGGCAGGAACCAAGTTTCATTAAAAAGACTGACTGGCCTCTGACCCAAAAGGTTGTTGGATCAATGATTCCTCTAGCAATACCCATGAGGAAAATTCTTATAGTTGTTTTCTCTGTCTTTTAAAAGATGCTGCTGGTAAACACACAGGAAGAAGAAGTGAAACAGGAACACTTGCTCAGCACTGCAACAATAGTTTCTCTTGGTTAGATCGAATTTTCAGGATTTCACAACACCTGCAGGTTTCAGGAAGTAAAAAACAAAACCCTGTGGAGAGATTGTCTCCACCTACTAAGTTATTTCAGTACAAAACAGAATTTTTAAGTACAAGTGCTACTAATTAAAAGGTTTACTGAGGCACATCAAAGCCCCTCTTATGGGGGGGAAAGCACACAAGTGAAGTGCTTCCATGGTACAACTTCTCCCAGTAATTCACAGGCAGCTACAATTCTTTTCTCTCGCATTCTGAATCATCTGAAGAAGTACAAAACTATACAGAGGTGACAAGGAAAAAAGAACAGTTATTATTGAGAGTCCAGATGATACTTGCCACCCCCCCGAAAAAAAAGGTAAAGAGAAGGTTTGGGAATTCCTTCCCACTTCTATGCTGCTCATACTGGAGAACGTCATGCTAACACTCCATATGCCTCTCACTTTAAATCTCCAGCACAGAACTGGAGAGTCTCCAGCCCAGCAAATCAATTCACCTACCTACAGCATGCTCATTTCCATCCTTCTTCTAAAGGTCTTTCAGACAGGGAGAGAAGATTCAGGATTGAAGTTACCGCTCTGGAAGCATGCTCCTTTCCATAGGAGCATTTAATAAAACATTATGGAGGCCCTAACTGAGCCCATATCTAAAATGAAGGCTGAGTACCAGGTTAACTTGTACCTAGCTTCCGGCAGTCCTTGCTTGGAACACTTAAGAATATTGCTATTTGTTCATCTACAGTTTTTAAATTATTTAATATTTTAAATATAATTTTGAGACAATAAAAATACCCATTTGTTTATGTGTTAACACTATTTGATAACTGGATCCTATCGGAAGCTGAGCGTCCATCCCAGACTATTGTGGCTCAAGATGTCTTCTATGGAATTTCTGAGGACTCTTCAAAGTTTCTACATAGCCAATCTTGTCGATATGGTACATGTGAAGAAATTAATACATATTGTTGACTTAGTTTGCCATCTTTATGGCAAAAGCCACTAAGCTAACCTCTAACATGGCAAGTGTAGAAGACAATTTTAGGGGAAATAACTGTGTTTACTATTGCAAAGAAGAACCTTTCTGGGTTGGTCAAAAGGGCATCAGACCCGTATTAATAACAGAATAAGTTCAAAGTTTTTGGGCTGCCTAAGTGTCTGGATTTCTACTGTATTTTGATCACCTGATCTACCCACATAGGCAAACCTGATCACGAAAAATCCTGAGGATGATACAGAACTAATTTGATGGTTCTGACCAGTATTTTCAAGCTGTGTTACCATATAATTGAGAACTAAACCTCTCTCACTAACTGAACCTACTATGCAATAAGGCTGACATTATCCAGTCCTCGGGTTGTTTTTTAACTGTAGGCTTCAGGGCAATCTATGAAGGTGGTAAGTAGGCGCAAACATCCACTAGTTCAGGACAAATCAAGTGACGCATTCCACAGTTAAGAAGTTGGCTGGGTTTTTTTGCTTGTTTTGTTGTTAGCAAAACAACCTTCCAACAAATGAAGTGTGTGCTAATTCAGTGTTCCTTACTTATTCCCGAAACAGACCAATATAATGAAGACTTATGCCTGTGGCATCAATAAATGGCACCAAAATGAGATCTCATGCACATTTATCATTACTGTATTCAGTCCTGGATCAAAACAAACCAATAAGCAAATGGCTGTTGCCCATCAAATGAAATTAGTTATTTACAAAGGACCATGTCATTACACTCAAAGAGAAGCAAGCAGGAGTTGGTGCTAAGGCACTGTCCTGGTTTCGGCCGGGATAGAGTTACTTTTCTTCCTAGTAGCAGGCATAGTGCTGTGTTTTGGATTTAGTAGGAGAAGAATGCTGATAACACACTGATGTTTTAGTTGTTGCTAAGTACAGCTTATGCCAGTCAAGGACTTTTCAGCTTCCCATGCTCTGCCAGGTACACAAGAAACTGGGAGGGGGCACAGCCAGAATAGTTGATCCAAACTGACCAAAGGGCTATTCCATACCATGTGACGTCATGCTCAGTATAGAAGCTGGGGGGGGTTGGCCGGGGAGCAGCAATTGCTGCTCGGGAACTGTCTGGGTATCGGTCGGCGAGTGGTGAGCAATTGCATTGTGCATCACTTGCTTTGTATATTATTATTGTTATTATCATTATTATGTTATTATTATCATTACTATTTTACTTGATTTCAATTATTAAACTGTTCTTATCTCAACCCAGGAGTGTTTCTCACTCTTACTCCCCCGATTCTCTCCCCCATCCCACCGGGGTAGGGGCAGTGAGCAAGCAGCTGTGTGGTGCTGAGTTGCTGGCTGGGGCTAAACCACGACAGGCACCCAGAGAACTAAGGCTCCAGAGAACTCTGGGCAAGCAAAAATTTTTCATTCCAGTGAGCAGGACCAAGGGGCATACAGAAAAACTCAAAGTACTGCCTACCAGTATCTATCAGGAAAAAGCCATACAGCTTAGTATTGAGGAATTCTGAATATATGTGCCTATCAGTCCTGTGCCCACACAAGTCTATTTTATCCGTATCCTATAAAACCAAATTTATACCTTAAATTGGAGAAAATTTACCTGATTACATTTTCCGATAATCACAGCTTTAACTGATTCCACCAACTGGGCATAACATTTTCACATTGCTGCATTTTACCAGCATTCAATGTAATATATTCAATTCAATTACTACAGCAATGACACCTAGATATTTTTATTTAAGTATTATTTTGGACCACCCCACTCCTCTTCTTTTCTACCGCTCTCCTTTCCTATATTCCAGTCCTGCTCTGCTTATGCCTTTGCCTCCCTTTCCAAATACAAATTCAACCACAAACAGTTGAACCTGGCAAAAGCCATGAAGCCACCGGAAGTGAAGGTGTTCATCCCTTCCAAGCCATCAAGCACACTCATTTCAATACCCTCCTTCATGCCATTAGGAACACAATGCAGATGGTACTTGCTAGGCTGCTGTTTAGTTGGATCAGCAGCCCGATCCAGCTCATCACATCACCACATCATGCTAGTACTGACAAAAGGAAAGGAAAAGGTCTGAACAGCCAGATGCAGAAAAGAGGAAAGGAGCTAAGAGGACCTCTCCTTTCCAGCAGCAGCGGGGATTTATGCAATGGATTAAACTGATTTTGAAAGTACAGCATTAGTCACAATGGTACACTGATCTTCAAAACACTTCTATTATGCTTCCTCCATTGTGTACACTGAACTTCATTTCACACAAGAAATTCTAGGAGCAGTTTCATTTATTGAGAAGTGAACATCCCTAACAGCACTAGTAAAATATCTGCAAGCCGTACTGTAATGCAGATATATTTATAACTCTGTGGCAATAAAAGGATCTTTTGACAACAGGAGTGCAGGGAATCCTGCCAGCATCTGCACATGTACAAACAACATCTCTGTTTTGGCTCCCTTCCAACTGGCATGTAGCAGCCACATCTACACTTCATTACCCAAGTCAGTAGCCGAAGAAGGGGATAAAAATATGTACAAGTGCCCCATTCAGCAGTTTTATATGCACTCCATGAATTTGACAAGAATATTAATTGAAGTGCAGATCTGTTGTCTTTGCAGAGATTTGTAACTTTTTGTACTATTCATTTTGAAAGCATCCTTCTAGATGAAACTGCAGCTAGCTTAACATGAGGATTTTTTGTTCTTCATGTATTAGAATTTTGAAAGCCAGTAAGACACGAACTCAAATTTGTATGGTCATTAAACATGTTTTCCATGAACAACCTGCATTTAGAAACAAGCTTAGTAGATAGCTGTCAAAAATCTCAGATTTCTGTAGAGCAATGCATAACATCGTTATGAAGACTTAAAAATGTGCATTTGATGATTAAGATAAAAACTAAGCTCTTGTTCAAAACCAGAAACAGCTATCTGACAAAAGAATCTGCAATCCTGATGCACCTACTCACATTTCACCTGTGAATATACACACAAATGCCATGGAAACCACAGACAATTAAGCTTTGAAAAGTGTTTTAAAATATAGTAATGCACACGAAAAACTACAAACAGGTAGCTTAGTAAGTCCTCCCTCATTAAAGTTGTTATCTTTCTCTATTCACAGAGAAATACATATAATCTTCTAACAGAAAGATGGAAAACAATAAATATGACAAAAACTTCTGCTACCTCCATTCCCAGTGACACATATATAAAAAAAAATTTTAATTGCCCTAATTAGTGTGGCTACAAGATATCTCTCTAAGCAAGGCTTAACAACCTAAGCCAACCCTGTCAAATGGACAAGGGACACATTGTTCCTGAAAGAATAATACTGCATTTATGTCTTTTAAAATAGAATAAATATTGAGAATTAATAGGGTGAATTTATCATTTCACTGAAGCATAAAACACACTGTCGGTGCATTTGTCTTCCTCACTTCCATCTGTCTAAACACGAGAAGATATACAAATCTGC